TTTTTTTAAAAATAAATTCTCCAAGAAAATCATCTATAAAAAAAACCTAATTAAAAATTTAATCCATAAAAAAAGAACTTTTTCTAAGTACTTTCATCATTTATTCATAATCGAGAAACTCTTCCTATATTAATAGGAAAAATCCAAAAGTTATAACAACAATCATCTTCGATCCATCCATCATATTAAGACGATATAAAATAATCATATATATAACATTTTTATAATCTTCGAACAAATTTCAAACTATATACTCTCTTGTAATACGAATTTATTCTCAAATATATTACATGCATCATTTATCATCGATAATCAACATTGATCCATGTCAGAATTGTTTAGCTTTAACCGAATGATTATTTATCATGAGCGATTTCGAAATTGACAGAAAGGATTTAACAGATGATGAGAAGATATAAAAATAACGATACATCCCAGGTAGCGCAATCGCCTTGACAACGGCGGCGCCACGTGCATGTGTGCGCCATTTCAATCTAAAACGAGATGGAAGAGAAAGGAACTAGTGGTAAAGGATGATTCAAGTCAGACAAAGAAACCTATACATATATATGGTATTAATATGTCGTGATCTTTAGAGACTCGATTCTAAAGATCAAAATAAATACAAAAGTTGATATACAAAAATCTCGGTTGAAACTTATTTGTTAAATTATAAGCGATTGAAATTTGCATCAGATAAAGCGAGACGGAGATAGCAGTATACAGAAGCATAACAGAGACAACGTAGTCTCACTCTATTTGTCTCTCGCTTCATCTAATGTCAACTTCAATAAACATCATAATGAATAAGCCTTGACCAAAATTTTTGTACATCAACTTTTATACTTTATTTTTATCTCTATAAACGATTTTCCAAATATTTCCTACGAATTTACCAACATCTTATTCTATGAGGTTAAAGAGAGATGCGGGAAGGAAGAGAGAGTGAAAGAGACAAAGCGAGCGACGCAGGAGTGGGGGTCGAGTGATTGGAGAGAGAGTAAGGGGTGGTCGAGCACGAGAGAAAACTGCTACAATGTACCGCAGTACGGAGTGGTGAGCTGCGAGTTGGCTCCTCGACAGTGAAAAACCAGTGGACTGAGAGAGCGACACAGGCTAAAGTGTATATTATCGGGACCGTGATCAGTCTTGTATAGGCGGTTACCGATCCGCCATTTCCATTCACCGAAATCCTCGTGCTCTCGTTTTTTTTTTTTTCTTTCTTTGCGCACGAGTTTTTGCTACGGTTTTGAACGTAATGTCGGCTCAAGGACAACGATTAGTTATGTTTTAAAGCAGAGAAATTATTCAGAAAGAATATTTTCGTTACGTGTGATGACAATATTGAGAAAATTGAAAAGAATGCTGTGACATTCGTGTTATGTCAAGGCCGATGCAGTATGTAGTACGTCGATATGTCTCGCTGCTTGAATCGCTGTGCTTCGATCTTTGACACTTGTGCCTGGATTCTGAAGATTTCGGTTGTCACTATATCGAGCGTAACCATATTTGTCAACTGTTAAATGTCTTGTGGGATTTCCTTTTGAAGAAATCAGCTGATTACTGAACTTCAATGTTGTGCAAATGATCGTTCACATTACAAAGACGAATTTCGTTGGATCGACGATTGAATAAGATATTTGAAGAAAATTTCGTAGAATTTTTTTTTCTCGAATTCTCTCACTTATGACTTCGTATCGATCAAGTCAAACAATGTTAGATACGTTCTTAAAACGATGAATACCGAAACCGATGATGACGAAATAGACAATGATGTTTCGGTGAATGTTTATCGAGTTGACGATTGTTGTTATTTGTTTAAAAAAGAATAATAAGAATATCGTGTGGTTTCAAGTGAAATAATCATTGCTTATCCGTGAGGAATCTGACGTATTTGAGGTGACGTACGTTAGAAGATTTTTATTACCGGTCTGAAATCTGGAGGTAAAATCGAACATAACCTCGAAACACGCACATTAAACGATAAGCCTTAATGATATCTTTTGTCTGAAAATATAAAGGGGCGATATTAAAGCAACAGAATACATTGATCGCTTCGCAATTTGTCGCAATATTTTTAACAAAATGCTTATAGTAGTACGATTCAATATCATTGAATATTAATAAAAATATTAGTATCGAAGAAATACTAATTTTGTAATCATGATCCTCACGTGATTTTATTTAAATCAATCAAGATAACAATCAACTGTTTTAACAAAATATTATATTAAAAAAATATTCATTTTCGATTCTTTAATTATCAATCGAAATATCGATTCTGTAATTTTTAACAAAGATATTACATTACGAAAGAAATATTCCTATGATCATAATTTTTCATTTTTTGCACAGATCGATCGAAATACATACTCGAGTTTAATTTTTACCATATTAAGAAATATTCCAGTGATCACGATTCTCTATACAGATCGACTGAAATATAACTCGAGTGGAATTTTTAAGAAATATTCCGATGGTCATGACTTTCGATTGTGACCATATATGATTTCATTTAGATCAATTAGAATTCCATCGTGTTGTGACAAGAAGCTACTTCGAATTATTGTCAAAATTTGAAAAGCCGATCGTTAAAACCGATCAATTAAATTTTCGATATAAAAGTAACTCCATTTCAATTGTATATTTATGACACATTCGTGTTTTTTATCGGCATGATATGAAAAATGGTTTTTGATGTGTATATACATGTTTTCGCTTGAAACAAAAGATACTGTCGAATTGTCAGAAATAACATATAACGAAGAGAGAACAATGATTCGGTTGCAGTCAAATTTCTTGGGAACAATGAGAACGTATTTATCAAGCCGAGTACACAAGTTCGTTACATCGATGGTTAATGGATTATGATCATATTTACAAGATTGATTGTTATTTGACATATATGATTGAAGATATATAACAACATACGGTGAAAATATTTTTAAACAAAAAAAAAAAAAAAAAAAAAAAAAAAAAA